ATAGACATCATTCCATTCTGAGCAAGGGTCCCAGTTTGATCTTTCTCCGTGTCTGAGCCCACTTGTTGTCCTGAAGGATAGGTGACAGCCCAGATACTCCCAGTGGGTGAGAAAAGCTCATATTCTATGCCAGTTTCCTGTCACTGCTTTGAGCTCTAAGAGTTCAGAGAGGTGAGGGCAGTGTGACCTCCACCTAGCTGAGTGTTGGCATGAGTCCCTGGTGACAGTGTGTCTGAGCTGCCAGTACACCGACAGTCTTTGGAGCAGCTCTTCCTCACTCTTTCAACAACCAGCCAATTTGGTCTCAGGAAATCACTCTGCAGTGCTGGCTGGGATTGGAAGTCATTTTTAATTCTGTGACAAAGACAAATGTGTCCTATGGGAGTAGTAAGTGGTTTTACTGGTGATATTAATGGAACTGTGACCTCTTCTATATCTATGGTCTTACAAAACAAAATATGTTTGTATTATTATATGTCAGGCAAATTCATTCTTAGCCCTTCCTTGAAGTAAATTGCAGAGGAAATATACTATTAATAAGCCCAGAGAGTATTGTTCGTGTGTGTGTGTGTGTGTGTGTGTGTGTGTGTGTGTGTGTTTGTATCTACAGTCATATGCTCATTTGCAAACATGGTAGATTTATAATTCCACTATTGACTGTCACACAGATGTTGTGTTTTGCATTGTGTTTGGAGGGACACAAATAACTGAAGTTCTGATATCTTTGGATAGAATTTCAGTGGACCCAGTGCTGAAATTGATATTGGCTTTTAAAGGCCAATAGCTGTAGTAAAATTTAAGTGTTTTGGGGATCCACAGTACCAAAGGGAAAGAAGAAATTCAAAGATATATTGAATTAACCTTTTCTATTTTCAGTTGGGATTGGTATGTATTAGTCTAGAAATGACTACACTGATTTTATTATCTCCTGTAGGAACTTTTTGTGCCAGTGCCCTTTGTTGAAAACGGTCACTTAAGGAGACAGTAAATTAAATATGAAGGATTTACAGTTTAGTTAAATGAATTAAACCATTTCTTAGTGTTTGTGTTTACCTTGGGAGGCACAAAAGAGAAAAAAATATAGACTCACAAGAGGAAGGAAAGGAATGATCAAATCCCAATAGTCCATGGCTGAATATCTAGCTCCACAACTTTATTTAAAGGAGGAATTTAATGCTGATAAGAAATCCTTGTCTCTATCTGATTAACTTTCTCTCTGCATATGTTACTATACCCATTGAGATTTCCTAATAAACACATAAGTTTATTAACTGTGACAGTTAATGTCTCATTCTATTATAGAGGACGAAACTCAGGTAAATCAAATGCAAAATTTATAGTTTTCCTTAAGCAAAAATGGATGGAGCTTTATCATTTGAGTTTTAACTTTAATAATTAAAAATATTACTATAAAATAACACATGATCATTCTAGGAAGACTGACAAATACAGAAGAAGGTAAATAAGAAAACAACAATAATCCATAAAGCCAACACCCCAAGATAGTCATTGTTAATTTTTTTCAGGTAGAGAAGGGATCTTGCTATGTTGCCTAGGCTGGTCTCAAACTCGTGGCCTCAAGTGATCCTCCTGCCTCAGCCTCCCAAAGTACTGAGACTGCAGGTGTGAGCCACTGCACCTGGCTGTTAAAATTTTAGTATATTTGTTTCCAATCCTTTTTTCTATGCCACTATGTCAATATATATTTATATTTTTGATAGTTAAGATGATGAGTATAATTTGTGATTTTCATATCTACCTACTGGTACCAGCAGCGAATCTGTATGGGTTTACAGCAACTTGATCCTTGCCTCCTTGGAGGAAAGAATTCAGCCAAGGGCATTAGTAGGTGTAAGGCAGATGGAGAGACCGAGGCAAATTTTAGAGCAGGAGTGACAGTTTATTAAACAGTTTTAGAGCAGGAATGAGAGGAAGCAAACTACACTTGGCAGAGGGCCAAGCAGGCAACTTGAGAGATTAAAGGGTTTGCGTTTACTCTCCCCTGATTTTTTCCTTTGGAATGGGCTGTCCATGTGCACAGTGGCCTGCCAGCACTTGGGAGGAGTTGCGTGCGCAGTGTGTTTACTGACGTTGTGTTTGTGCTCACTTGAGGTGTTTTTCCCTTACCAGTTGAGCATTCGCAGAGGAAAGTCATATACCGGTCAAACTCTGCCATTTGGCCTCTGAGTGTGCATGCTTGAGCCTGCTCGCCCAGCTTCCGAGATCTTATCAGGAAGCTGCTGATCACCAGCTGTAGGTGTTTTCTATCTGTTGGGAGACTGGCTATCTCTGGTGCCAGTTGTGACTAATTATTATTTTAGAAAGACAGTTTAATAACCACCTGTCCGTCACCTGATGGTCACCTGACATTCTTGGGAGGAGGGGCACTCTCCTGCCCCACTCATGTCTGCCTGAATGCCAACTCTAACACTACCCCTCTTTGTTCATAAGTTCAAATGAGTCAAAATAATAATAAGAAAATTAACAGCTAACTATTTGCCAGGGAATCATTCTAAGTGCTCTACATATCTTAATTCATGTAATCCTCATTGTAGCCCTTTCACATAGATTTTACAGATGAGGCACAGAGGGCATAATGATTTCCCCAAGGTTTCACAGTTACACAGGACCACAGCCAGGATTAAACCCAGGCATTGAGGCGTATTCTGAATCACCATGATCTGATGCCTCCCTCCAAATCAAAGCCTGCCCCAAAGTCTGCTGTCATACCCCATGCCTTGGTGATCAGTCCTTTTTCAGAATTTCTCCAACACTATACAGTACCATGAGGCACTTACTTTCCCACTGAATGTGTGGAAATCAGCCTTCATCTCTAAAAAATAATTGTCACCTGCTGGCAGCCCTTTCTATGGGGGCCTTCAAGAGAAGGTGGCCAGAGGTTCAGCCTTCAGGGTGCTGCAGGGGAAGGGGCTGTAGATTGGAGGCAGAAGTAACTGGCCTGCAGGCCTGGCTATGCCCATCTAGACAACTCATTTCACCTGTTTGTGCCTCTTTTCTCATCTGTAAAATGACAGGGTTGGATACCCGTTCACTCATTCATTCAGCACACATGAGACAGACATGAATACAATCCATTTCCTCTCCTCTAGGAACTTAGCATCCAAGGAGTACCCAGAGGAAAACACTGCCGGTTCTGTGGACTGTGTTGTAACAGAATCTATGGGAACACTGGGGAAGTCCCTAAGGTGGGCTAGGGTGGAGACAGGTGCAGGAAGGAAGGGGGCTAGCAAGGCTTCCCAGAGGATGAGTGAGAATAATTAACATATAGGTGCCAAGGACCACACAAGATGGGCTGTGGTGAGAGGGTCTCTCTAGAGCTCACATCTGTGCCTCCATTCCACACTGCTGTGCACAAAACCATCCCATCTTCAGCAGGCTACTGCAATGGCCCGTTGTTTTTTCTTTTTTGGCTTAAAACTACAGAAATGTGTTATCTCACAGTTCTGGAAACTCGAAGTCTGAAATCAAATCATCTGGGCCATGCCCCTTCTGAAACCTGCAGGAGAACCCTTCCTCGCCTCCTCCTACATGCTGGTGATTGCCCGCAATCCTTGGCCTTCTTCGGCTTGCTGCTGCATCACACCCGTCTCTGCCTCCGTCTGCACATAAAGCAAGTCTGCACACCCTGTCTGCCTTCACGTCGCTGCCTTCTTATAAGGATGCTAATCATATTGGATTAGGGGCCCTCCTTACTTAGCTTAAGTAATTACATTTGCAACAACCCTGTTTTGAAATGAGGTTACATTCAGAAGTACAGGGGGATTGGAACCTCAGCATATCGTTTTGGTGGGGACAGAGTTCTACCATAATGATCACTGTAGCCACCATCTAGTCTAGGCAACCATTGCCTGCTTACTGCTTTTGTTTCTCTCCTATTCATTCTCCATTCAGCATCCTGAATGAGTTTCATAACCACAAACCTGAGACAGGACCAGCAAGCAGGTGGTGGCCTGGTTGGTTCTTTCAGCAAATGGAGAGAGTTCACACAGGACTTCTTTCCATTCAGTATATAAGGCTGGAGCAAATGGGGGACGATCAGAACTCAATGACTCCTGAAGAGATCCTTGCCTGAGGATGTCAATAGATTCCCGAGGGCAAGGGCAGGGTAGACTGAGAATGTTTCTAAAAGGATCTCAGGCTCATTCTGGTTCCCCGAGGAGTTACAGGGAAGCTGAACAAGTATTTGAATCCTCCTTGCCTCTGAGACTGGCCAAATGCCACGCTTTTTAAGGAAGTATTGGTGCTTAAAATCTTTTCCAGACTTCTCTGCAGGCACTTGCACATACTTTGCTATTAGCAGGTAAGTAGTGCATACTAAAGAAATAAGCCTAATATACATATGAAATAAATGCATCATTCAACACCGCTTCTCCTGCCTGTCCCCCTCCCCCTAAGCAGCTCAGACCTTCTTGTTCATTATTATTAGCCTCCGAGGAAAAGTCTAGAAAACCTTTAAGTCATGCTTCTGTCATTCAAATGATAATCCTCTCCTAAACTTGCTAGACTTCTGCATCACCTTGAATTCTCCAAAGAAGAGTTGACTTCGCCACTGCATCTGTGCCCTTTGAGCGCTTACAAAGGCTCTGGAGGGCGCTTCCTGAGGCACTTAGCATAACTGTGGTGAGAAGTTTATGCAGAATTTTCTCCTTTCGCTCTTACTGCACTTTTAGGCCTTTTCCCACAGTGGTCCCCCCATATCACAATTGCATATCAGGGTATGGGACAATCTGATCAGAGGCCAACAACAGATGTGAACTTAGGCTTTATTAGGGAAGCTTTCTTTTTCTGGGTAGAAACACAGAGGGCCAAACTCAGAGACAAAGATATGAATATATGGATTACATTAAGGGAGAATGGTGTGACTGTGGCAGTGGCTGCCTTACCCCACTAGCTACGGTGGTTTGATGCTTGCGTGTTAATTTTTTTTATATATATATATATATATTTTTTTTTTTTTTTTTCATTTTCTTCTCATTCAGATACAGGTAGACCTTTCGTAGAGATGTACAGTGAAATCCCCGAAATTATACACATGACTGAAGGAAGGGAGCTCATCATTCCCTGCCGGGTCACATCACCTAACATCACTGTTACTTTAAAAAAGGTAAATTTGAACACTGCTTTTCTCAGAATACTTTTACTGCAAACAAGCGTAATGAAGTTTTACTCGTTTTATCTTTCCGGAATAATTTCCTTACAGACATCTGGGCTTCTCAGTGGACTTTCCTGTAACATCCTTTTAGTATAAGGAATCGTGCTAGAAGTTATGCCCATGGATGTGGTTAAATAGAACAAAATGATAGTGTCTTAGGCATGAATCGATGTGAATAATGAAAGAACTGAAATCGTGAAAAATGTTATGTATTGCCACAAACCCAATTGTGTGCAAATGTGAGAAAAATCAATTCTGCTGCTTACACAAATTAATAACTTCGCAGACAGTGGATTATCCAGGTTACTGCAGAGTAGACAATGTCAGCAGGGTGCCCAGTTCTCCAGGCATTGACATTCTGGCTTCATGCATAAGGAGACACCACCTTTGGTTTGAATTGGCCAGTTCCTTGGTGAAAAAAGGCCTGTCTCCTGCTGAGCACCCAAACTTCATCTCTTAGGGGAAAAAAGGGAGGAAAGGCCATACATGAAACTTTTCTTCATATTATACTGTAAATTGTACATATGGAAAGGAAAAACATTTAGGGTAGAATCTAAGAAAAACAAAAACTAAACATGTGACATTCTAGCTAATTAATCAGTAAGAGTTAGGAGTATACCAGGACTCAGAACTGGATAAAAACTCCCCAGATGGAAAACTGTGCTAAGTTCTGAGAGCTTAGAACTTTAAGACAAACAGTCAAGGCTGCCCCAGAGCAGCAGCTCGCACAGTGCATCGCAGAGCAGGCACTCAGGAAGTGTTTGGTGCTGGTAGTGGTGGCAGTTAGGCTGGAAAGGTTTAGAGAATGATTTTCAGTCTCATCCATCAACCCTGAGTCCTGAAATGTGGTGGAGGAGTCTCCTCGTCCTCTTCCTTGCATTCACTGTCGTGGGTTGTTACTCACGTAGGCCCTCAACATAGTCCATCGGAGACAGGTTTTGGCCTCCATTACATTTGTGTGCCATCGCCAGGAAATAGTCATTACGGCAGAGCTGGAAACGCCAGAGGAGTCAAACTCCTCAGCTGGTCAAGATAAAAACACTCTGGTTTCCAGAGTGTCAGGAACTTCCCAGGTCATACTGAGCATTTGAGCCAATATCTTGCCTTCTCATTCAGTGTTCCTGCCATCCTTCTTGAATGGTCTAGTTTGTATAGGAGGAAGACAAGGGTGGTTAAGAGCAGAGGCTAGTGCCACATTGCCTGCACTCTGAACACACTGCCACTCATCACTGGGCAAACTAATGAGTCATCAAACCTCTCTCCACCTCGCTTTCCCCATCTGAGGAAGGGGGTGATGACAGTGGTACCACCTCACATTGCTGTTAGAAAGGTTAAGTCAGGTGATATATGGAAAGCACTTAGATCAGTATCTCAGTACAAGATAAGCCCTATTCAGGGGTTAGCTTTAGCATTACTTAACAGTTTTAATACCCAATACTGTACTTGATATATTACCAAGTCATGTTTTCAACAGCATGGCATTACTCCCCTTAGTCTGAGATAATTATTGCTGTATGATTAATACGGAAAACACCGTGGGAAGAGGGAAACATTCTCTTTCATGCGCGCGCCAGTGCAGGTGGGTTTTTTGGTCATCAGGAACATTCCAAAATTCCCATATAAAAATCTGGGGCTGGTGGGAGTCTCTTTACTGTTTTCTGCCTAAGATCTGCAGTGCACAATTTAAAAAGAGAGAAAGAGAAGTGTAAAATTTTAACGGGGATTTTGGTTTGGCACATGTGTACTGGAAGTATTCTAACCTATGACGTATTTCTGCTGACATGAAGTTAATATCTTTCCCTTTCATTTCTCTTATTGTCCCTTTTCTTCTAATTTTCTGTCCCCTCCCTCTCCTTTTCACATGCCTGCTTTGGCGGAGCCGTGGTCAACTGCAGACAGGCCTTGCTGCCCAGGGCTTCCTTTCGAGGCTGAGATCCACCTGCCCATCTGCCTTCATTCTTACACATGCGGTGGTGGCCACAGCTGATGGGCTACAGTCTTTGACTGCTTTAGATCTTCTCAGCTAAATGTAAAGTTACTTTGCCAATGGAATGCTACTAACAGCCGTAATGGATAGATGAGAGTAAGATAAACACTTTAAAGGAAATTTTAGTGTATTTTTAGGTTGTACTGAGGAAGCCTGTCAGCAAACCTTTCTTTTAGATTCAGCACATACTTGTTTTCACTTATTTGTAAAGTAACATAGATGTCAGTCCCTGACTTAAATTTTTCTGGGTTTTCCTTTGTCTGCACTAAATTAGAAGAGAAGGTTTTTTTTTGTTTTTGTTTTTGTTTTCCCACCAAATACATTCCTAAGTTTACAGGTAGCACCTTGATATAGTGAAACATGAAATGAATCCTTTAATTGCTTTCAGTTCTTCATAAACAGGATGTAATTAATTTCAAACCAAGGAACACCGGTAATACATTCCAATGTAGGCACAGTCCCTAGAAGAGAGGTACTAGTGGCTTCTGGACTAGAAATTTCTGCCATAGGATCACAAATCCAGATCAGCTTCTTCGGCGAGCAATAGAAATAAATGACAACTGGATAGAGAGAGGGACGTCGGGTGTACTTTTTAAAAGGCGATAGGAAAGGTTTCAAGCTTCTTTATGGCTGTTTGGTATTTCCTTTATAATCTGTTGGGGGAAGGTAATTTGATTTTTGTTTTTCCTTTTTCAACTGGGAATAAGGAATAGTGGTAGTTGGGAGTCGACCACCACTGAAATTGGACTGGCAACCTGGCATCAGGGGAATTTGGCTGGGCCACTTGATGGAGCAATGACCCTTTACAAATAAAGTTCAATCCCACGGCAGAGTGTTTATCTTGTAGTCTTTAAACATTACGTTCTTGATGTCAGAAGAAGGCATAAGGAGAAAGTCAAATCATGGATTATTTTCTTCTGTCTGGACTCACCGTGCTTGGGAATACTTCTAAGCATTTGAGAGCACTTCATTCATGGCAGTCTCTGGCCTCCAAGGCTGCCTTCACCATCAGCAGCTCCAGCTTCTGGGAGTTTCCCTTCCAGAGGCAAAGCTGACACCTTCCTTGTGACACAGCAGGATCCTCAGAATGACAATCCCAGTGAGTGCCAAGTTAATGTTATGAATCTTGGAGGACCTGGAATTATTTACAGTCTTTTGAAGACAGCCACTTCTTCAGTAAACCATGCAAAATGGGAGGAAAAGCTATGACTTATTAAAAGCTCTGGACGATGAAAACAAATGAGAATAATCTGGCAGCCCCAGTAGAAAAAAAAGCAATTGGCGTCTCTCTCTTTTTTGAGATGGAGTCTCGTTCTATCGCCCAGGCTGGAGTGCAGTGGTGTGATCTCAGCTCACTGCAACCTCCGCCTCCCGGGTTCAAGCCATTCTCCTGCCTCAGCCTCCCGAGTGGCTGGGATTACAGGCACCTGCCACCATGCCCAGCTAATTTTTGTATTTCTAGTAGAGACAGGGTTTCACCACGTTGGCCAGGCTGGTCTCTGCTGACCTCAGGTGATCCACCCACCTCGGCCTCCCAAAGTACTGGAATTACAGGTGTGAGCCACCACACCCGGCCTGTTAATTGGTTTGTCTGCTGAGTGTCCGACCAGTTTATTATGAAGATTCCTGGAGGCCAAAGAGTTATGGGCTCCCCCTGAAAGTCTGATATGACAACTAGGTCTATCCTGGGTAGGTGCCATTTGTTGCCAAGGCTGATAGTAAATTATCATAATTACTATAATTAATCATAATGCAAGTGTCTTTTGCTATATACAAAAAAACTCAAGAACCAATGATAACAAACTAGAGTTTTTAACCTAGTTTGTTATAAGCAAATTACAGAGTTTTACTATTTTCATTTTAGATGAAAAATCATGTTTTCACCAACTGCTGGTGAAACAGTATTGCCAACCAGTGCTAATAGGACCTTGTTAATGCATGCCTCTTCCTTTTCAGTTTCCACTTGACACTTTGATCCCTGATGGAAAACGTGTAATCTGGGACAGTAGAAAGGGCTTCATCATATCAAATGCAACGTACAAAGAAATAGGGCTTCTGACCTGTGAAGCAACAGTCAATGGACATTTGTATAAGACAAACTATCTCACACATCGACAAAGTAAGTGATGCTTCAGAGGCATGAACATAAGCCGAAGTGCTCTTTATTTTTATCTGCGTAATGAAATCTTAATTTAAAAAAATTTCTCTTTTATGCTTGCAGCCAATACAATCATAGATGTCCAAATAAGCACACCACGCCCAGTCAAATTACTTAGAGGCCATACTCTTATCCTCAATTGTACTGCTACCACTCCCTTGAACACGAGAGTTCAAATGACCTGGAGTTACCCTGATGAAGTGAGTGACCCATTTTTCTATTTCTTCTGCAGGACAGTATTTTTAGCAAGTGAAATCCCACAGGGTTTTTGAGATGGGAAAAATCAGAAAATCCTGATTCCTGTGGCAGTGTTAGTCAATAAAGCAGCTTTGGGTTTGGTTCGAGTGCTTTCTTTGCCTGGCATTTCATGAGTGTGATATGCAGAGATATCGTCTTTTGATGTCTGGGAGTTTTGTTTTGAAGAGCATAGACTGGTATTTCTATTGCATGATTCTAGGTGGAAAGAAAGGGATTGTTTCATTCCTGGAAACTATTCTGTAGGATTTAGAAATGAGAGAGAAATGTATCACTAAATGCCAGGCAGGGACTGCCTTTTGTAACAACAACAACAACTTTCCAGGAGGCTGTCTCTGTCAGCGCATTCATTTAGGATACTGGCAGACAGTCAGGCACCTGATTGGAACATGTTTGGAAAAGATATTACAACCCAGTCATCCAATATTCCATTTGTTAAGTGTCAGGGGAGCAATTCTGTCCTTCAGAAAAATGAGAAGAATGAAGCCTGAGTTGGGTTCCCTTATTCAAATCGAACATCCTTGCAAACAATAATTGTTTTAGAAATGTATACATGGAGAAACTATGATAAACTGTTACGGAAATTTTGACAGTAGTTCTGGCCCCCATTTCTTGTGTATCAGCATGATTTATGCGGCATATCTCAAGTACAATCATTTGTTATGTCGTTCAGATTGCCCAATTACAAAGTCAATTTATGATTAAATTATGTATGAAAGATTAATGCATGAGCCCCAAGCTAGTGTTGTTTTTCATCGACATTTCTTGCCATGGAAATGGAATAACTTAGCAACAAAAACGTGTAACGAGTGCCCTGTAGGGGCACATTAAGGCCTTATCTGTCACCAGCTGTTTTCTAGGAGTGGTATCTTTTCATTTAAATAAAAATGCTATGGCTTGTAGCAATATTTTCTGGGTTTTAATAGAAATCAAATATTCTCAATAAGTGCCAAGAGGGAAGAAACTTCTATCTTGCTAGCATTGCTACTGTAAGTAAGAGTATCTATAATACATCTATTAAATGCTAATAATCTTCTAAAACAGCACTGTCCAACAGAACTTTCTGTGATGGAAATATCCTGTACTTGTGCCACTAGCCACATATGGCAGATGAAATGTGACTAGTGTGACTGAGGAAATGAATTTTTGATTTCATTTAATTTTAATAGCCACACGTGGCTGGTGGCTGCAGTACTGGGCGAAGCAACTCTAAAACACAGGATGAGTTATTTCCCAAGTCAGAAGCAATACCAGTGTTACTCAACTTGGCAAAGGGAGTAGTACCTGTATAAATAGAGCTGCAGAAACCTCCCTCAGTCTGTTATGTTAAGGGACTAGTTCTCTGACTTTTGATAGTGGCAATTGACTTTTCTCTCTGGTTATTGCTGAGAATGAAGAAAATGGCCTCAAAATGTGTCTGTCTGTTCCAACAGGGAAGTAAATGGACAGGTGGGTAGAAGTGTATTAAACGTGGCACAGAGGAGAACTAAGCTCCCGATCCAAAGATCAGTTCTGGACAGCTCCCAAAGACATTTTTCCATGCTCCTCCCCTCTGCCCCTATGACTATGGGGAAGGACTGAGAGGTGGAAATAACTTATTAGTTATAAAATATAGCACTTAAAAAAAAAAAAGGAGAAGGCAATGTGATGTTGTCTTCTCAAAACAATGAGCAGGACTGTCATTGTGGCCAGGTCAGATTGTGGAGCCTAAGACTGATTCTTGTTCTTCTCTGAGACAAACCTGGGACAGCACCTTTCAAGTCTTGGTTAAACCTGCTGATGGCTTTGCATGTCCCCAGATCCGTTTACTATGATTTAGCCAACATGGGCAAGCATTGCTCAAATAGTGAAATAATGAAATTATAGGATTATTCCACCTTAGTAAGTAGAGACAAGACTCATTATCTTTTCCTTCATATCTAATAGAGACAAAAAAGGAAACTCAGACAGTGATTTGGTGAGAGAAGCACTGTCATTAAGCCAGACACTAAGGCTTATGATTGTCATGTTTGTGTGTGATATGTATGCCTACAGAACAGGTTACTGTGTAGAGAGGTGTGTGTGCCAGAGGAAGGACACTAGATTTATGCTCAAAAGACCTGAGTTCCTGGCCAACTTGGGCCAGGGGGTCCCTTCCTTCAGTTTTTTCATCAGTAAAAGGGCAGTCAGCCTGCCAATCTCACTAGGTTGTTGAGACAAACAATTGAGATGGTATATGTGAAAATGCATTTGAAGAAAATTAAGTGCTAAATAAATCCTACTATGCTACATATTTGAAGCATCTCTAGACACAGATATAGTTTCCAAACATTGTGCTGTAGGTGGATGTGACATGATTCTTAGCATAAAACAGAAGCTATTGTTGAAGTTATGATCTAAGAAATGTTAAAATCCTATATAACTTTAAGCATGAACACTCACTCCTTCTACATTTGTTATACGTTTTCTTTCTAGAAAAATAAGAGAGCTTCTGTAAGGCGACGAATTGACCAAAGCAATTCCCATGCCAACATATTCTACAGTGTTCTTACTATTGACAAAGTGCAGAACAAAGACAAAGGACTTTATACTTGTCGTGTAAGGAGTGGACCATCATTCAAATCTGTTAACACCTCAGTGCATATATATGGTAAGCATAGTTCAGCGTTGCCAACTCACGCTATGCTTTCTAATCATTGTAGATGTCTGTGTTCTCTAAATAAGTCAGTTTTCTGTTGGCCAAGAGTTACATTATCATGAATGAATACGACTTGGCCATAGTTCCCTCCTCCCCCTGTCAAAAAGCAAACCACATTAAGTACTCTTTAACTTTAATACTTTTGAATTGAACAGAGAGTCCTTTCTTTAGATGTTTATTATAGCTAATAATTCAGTTAGAACCTAATATATTTATGGAATTTTTAGTGTCCTATATAAACAAAACAGAAAAAGATGACGAATTTTATCTTTACTACTTCAGAAAAATTTCTCAGGTACTACCATGAATTAGAGAAATAAAAATATGGTATGCTAAATCATTTAGAATTAAAGCTATTTTATCCCTGCTTTTACTCTCATGGAATCCTAATGTTGTTGCTTAATTTCAGTATGCAAATTCTATAAAGAAAATGCTTAAAAGCCTTATTTCCATTGCTGAAAAGGAAACAGTGTGGAGGGCAGAAACTGTGGAACAATTCTATCAGTAGCCTTTTATTTCCTTTTGTCTTTCTCCAGTTGATTTTTGATATCAAATTAGTTGTTTTAGGGTGCCCAGAGCAACGTTTTCTCACAGCGGCCACATAGATTTTTAGAAATATCTTCCCACTTCCTTGTTATTGTGATAGAGATATTTAAGGTGTTTTACTTTCTGTTGCTCTGCCACTGTTTTAGGTTGCTAGGACGTGATACCATTTGATTTGAAAGGCGTGCACCAGTTACGGTGCTTTTAAAGTATCCTATTCATTGATCAATATTTAGGCTCATTGATACGCTCTATCATAATTCAGCTCTGTTTATTTACTCATTGATTACACCCTCCCTTCATGAGGCCCTAAGGTTTTGCTTATGGAAATATATTCTTTTCTAATGTATTTATCACTTCTCCTTTCAAAGATAAAGCCTTCATCACTGTGAAACATCGAAAACAGCAGGTGCTCGAAACTGTAGCTGGCAAGCGGTCTTACCGGCTGTCTATGAAAGTGAAGGCGTTTCCCTCGCCGGAAGTTGTATGGTAGGACCATACTTATTTCCATAACAGTGTAAGACGTGCTTTGTAAGTGGGAAGCTGCAAGAGCCTAATGACTCCAATTCCTGACAAAATACCAAGAGACGTTCCTCAGACAGCCCCAGAGAGCTCAGAACTCTGTAGATTCTTGGGTGGTGGAGGTGAGAAGGGCTGGGGGAAAGGAAATAATGTAGCAAGGTAAGCAAGAGATGAGGTTTGTTCGAGTGCTCACTTCAGTCTAGTCAGTCTCTTACTGTGGTTAACTTTCTGCATCTCTAAACCTTCCTATGATGTCAGCATTCTTTGAATGGGATGTGTTGAACAATGACTAGGAAGTATTTTGAATATGTAACATGCTCTATTAACCCTGAAGAAGTGGACTCTTGTAATGAGAATGATGAAAATAATTCTTTTATGTACAGCTGGGTTGAAAGTTCCAGTCTTGTTTTAAAATTAAACAAACATTAATAGAGACAAGACTTACTCATTTGAAGATGAGGACGAATGGGCCTACTTGAACTAATTAAGGTTTTTTTGGCTAGAAGGATATATATTCAAAACCTCCTTCAGCAGTTTTTTAAAACACTAGTACAACACCTGATGTAAAACAATGTAATCTGTTTATGATCTGCGATCATTTTACAAAATTACTGTTAAATGCCAATACCTTTGGCTCAAATCATTACCTTTTAAACAAAGGGTATGGTGCAAAACTGATTAGCAAAACAATCCATACAATAGGGGTGTGGTGCCATTTTAGAATCCCCCTAACCAGAGCTGATTTGGCTTTCAAAGTCGTATGAGGGTAGTGTGTTTGTTTGCAGTTCCCTTAAATACTTAATAGGGAATTAAAGAGAAAATTTTAACTTTGTGCTATGTCGTCATGCCATTGCAGTAGAAAAATGATCCTTTTTGCTTCAGAATATCAAAAACATTTAGTAGTAAATTTTTAGGTTTAATAGTAAATTGAATAGTAATTTAATGACTCCAGGAGGTACATTCACTCCGCCGGGGTCTGAGAGCACGCTCATCTGTTAGTGTTGATTTCTTCAGTAACTAAGTCACAAGGGCATTAAAAAAATTCAGTCCACCGTCAAAAATGCTGACTTGTTGATAGGAAATAATTTAAAGTAATACCAAGACAGTATTTGTAATCACATCCTCATTTTAATTACTTTGGATCTGAGACACGCTAGTAATGGGAATTTGTTTGTAGGACTTTATAATCATGCATGATAATGAACTAAGTTTCCAATATTAAACCTTTATACAGAACATAAGAAACTCCTAATGGATTAAAACTGCCTATTTAAAGAACTGTGCATTTTAATGAAATCATAGAATTTTAGAGTTATAAGGAACCTTTGAGAAACTCTAGAAAATTTGAGAAAATTGGAGCCCAAGCTGGTTAGTCATGTGTGCAGCAGCCTGCAGTGAGTAGCAGAGCCAGGTCAAGCATCCAGGCTCTGACTGTCAGTTCCGTGTGCAATAGAATGATATCAATGCATCGATTCAGTATTTAATATGTTTTTATATTAAAATTTTATATTAAAATTTTTTTTAAATTTATGCTTTCTGTTTGTTTTGCACCTTAACTGTTCTTCCTCAGAGGAGAAATCTTGATAATCTTGATTTCACTCTAGTTTATGAAAGGGACAACTGGTGTGACCATTTATAAAACTAATAAGAACTCCACCTGAGACCACAATAGGAAAGTCTATTTGTATTTTTATCTGGAGAAGTGATCTAGTTGATCTGACTTACAATGGCCCTTATACTGCTGATGGAGCCTCATGGAAAACTCTGAAAAACATCTCGGATGGAATCAGAGCCCCTGCCTCTGGGTTAATCCTTAAGTCCCAGTGGCCACCGGTATCCCTGTGGGCACACTAAGCTACTGTTTTTCTGTCTTCACTCGCTTTATTTCTTCCTCCTTGCCAGTAAATATGAAGTATTACCCAGTCTAAAAAGCATATCTGCCTTTACTGAAAAGTTAATGGCTACATTTTAAAAATCAACAGTGATGATCAAAGATTTGAAACTGGTCAACTTGAGGCCGGGTGCAGTGGCTCACGCCTGTAATCCCAGCACTTTGGGAGGCTGAGGCGGGTGGATCACAAGGTCAAGAGTTCAAGACCAGCCTGGCCAACATGGTGAAACCCCATCTCTACTAAAAATACAAAAATTAGCTGGGCGTTCGTGCAGATCCTGCTAACCCTAGCTACTCAGAGGCTGAGGCAGAGAATCGCTTGAACCCTGGAAGCAGAGGCTGCAGTGAGGCTGCAATTGCGCCACTGCACTCCAGCCTGGGCGACAGAGTGAGACTCTGTCTCAAAAAAAAAAAAAAAAAAAGAAGAAGAAGAAAGAAGAACGATCAAATTGACTCAAAAACTTAAATGACAGTGTTACCAAAGTGATATTGCGGGGCCATGTGAAATGACTTACTGATTATGCTTTTAACCACAGGTTAAAAGATGGGTTACCTGCGACCGAGAAATCTGCTCGCTATTTGACTCGGGGCTATTCATTAATTATCAAGGATGTAACTGAAGAGGATGCAGGGAATTATACAATCTTGCTGAGCATAAAACAGTCAAATGTGTTCAAAAACCTCACTGCCACTCTAATTGTCAATGGTAAGTTTGCTGCTCAGGCTTTCTTCTGGTTCTGGTAGGAAACAAATTAGTGAACACTTATGAATTCAAAAATCAGCATAACAACATCAAAGATAACAAAATTTCAAATAATCATTTGAAAAAACACTTAACGTTAAGTTCCCATCTTCAACAATCTCGTGTTTGTTTGTTGTATTCCATAGGCAGCATGATCTTTTATCATTGTAATCACAATGTACATACCATGGAATCAAATTATTAATATTCTCAAAACACTGCTACTATTTTTAAAAATCTGCATTTTCTTGACAAATAGGAGAGTTTACTTGTTTTTTGTTTCTTGTTTGTTTCCCTGACATCCAAACCAGTGAGAATGTGGTCCTTCATGTGTGGCCCAGGAGAAAGTCATTAGAACAGCTCTTGACTTCTGTCCCGTTCTTCATCTCCTTTCCAGTGAAACCCCAGATTTATGAAAAGGCCGTGTCATCATTTCCAGACCCAGCTCTCTACCCACTGGGCAGCAGACAAATCCTGACTTGTACCGCATACGGTATCCCTCGACCTACAATCAAGTGGTGCTGGCGCCCCTGTAACCATAATCATTCTGAAGCAAGGTAGGGACAGTCAGTTTTTTGACTAACTTTCAAATACTTTTTGATAGCTGGAATTAAGATTTTTTTAATGGACGCAGATGGGGTGTACTGTATATTTAAGGCAAGGCTCTCCCTGCCTTGGAAAAAGGTGGGCAACAGCTACTCTTCCTTCTTACTGAATATACCTTGCCATTGGCTAACAATTTCATAATTTTTCTCTCTGGTTTACAGTTTTAGAAGCACAAGCACAAAACTAAGGTCCTCCCATGAACTGTTATATGAGCTCAGGTTGGAACTCTGGTATCCTGTTTCTCAACTGAAGATCCCTAGACTTTGGCTATACCACTATGTCAGTTGCATTCGCGTTCCCATTGTTCATTTTTTATTCTTTGGATATGATCCAAGTTCTTCCCAACACCGATGATCACTATGTTTCCTACTTTTGGGCTTTGCTCTTCCATCTGTCTGAAATGCACTTCCACCCACTGCCTGCCTCCTAAGAGGGCCTTACTTATCAAACCCCATGGCTCAGCTCTTACATCACCTTCTCTGTGAACCCTCCTGACTGCCTCATTCAGAATCACGTCTTCCTCCTCAGTATGAACAGCACTTTGTTTACACCATTGTTACGTCGCTCGATGCACACAGGTTTGTCTCTCTCTAAGCCAAGAGCTGACTGAGAGTACCCCTGTGTCTTTAGGCTGGGTGAAGGCTGGCACACAGTAGATGCTCAGTGTATATTTGCTAAGCGAATACATCCCCACCCTCTGCTAATTGTGCAACATTTCTTTGCATCCTGTTGATGACTGAGCCTTGTTTGCTTTTTCCTCTTTTTGTTTAGTCTACAGGAATGATACTAAGGATAGTTCATGGGAGCTAATTTGAAGAACAGGAATAGAATTGATAGGTGCAACAATAAGATATTATTGAAACTGCCCAAGAATTATCATTATGCCAAACTATTTTCCTTTTTACTTTTAACTTCACTTGCAGAGTGTTCAGGAGAATTGTTATTTAAAAAAAAAAATTGATAGGAAAAGTAAACAAAGCATAATTCTAATGTAAACAGATAGAAGTGGCTATTTGATTTTCTAGATTATTCCCACAATTCCAACTCGTTTTGCTTAGGGTGTATTACTCTCAGAGTGGAAAGTTACTGGTGAGTTATGGAATTCCTGGAAAGTAGCTATTTCCACACATCTGATTTCTCATTTGACTGTCATTTTCTAATAATAGAAATACAAAGGACTTAAAAATCTTAAATATCTTCCTTACCACTGTGAATGTTTAACGCAAGAGACAGTGAGATCTACTGAAATTCTATACTATTTTGCAAATTTGGGGTATGCATCAATATTAATGGACCCATCCTCCTAGGGTCTTGACATATGTGCCAACCTAACATGCAAACAAATCAAAAAATAACTAAATAATTGAAGCTATTTGATTGGGATAAAAGTGTAGAGTTGAATTTTTCTGGAATAACAGAGCCTTTTCTAAATATATTTACATTTTGTTTTGGCAATATTAAATCTAAAATTTCTATTCTAGGATTAGAACTAGTAACTACGTTAGAAAATAACAATTATGAATGATAGAACATAATGTTATAAATTTGGGTTTAAGTGATGCTGATAAAATGTGATTTGGAGAATGAGGCCAGCTCGAATGGAACTTTGTAAACATTAGCTTTCTTTCCAATTTCTTTGTGGTATATGGGATCTTTCTTTTGTGTTATGCAGTAAGTTCGCCAAGGCCTAAAAAGATGTCTTCTTCCTTTCAGAGTGGTCTCAAGACTCAGAGCATTACCTTAAATGTTTGTTGGCCATTTGAATTATTCTCTGTTAAAGGCATTTTTTTTCACTACTTACAAGACTGATCAGAAATGAAAGTTTAAGGTTGCGTATGCTTTATTTCTTTAATATGTTGCTGCTTGAAAGTATCTGCCAAAAATGTACACATCTTTGATGTACAAGAATGAGAACTTGATGTACATTAGTCAGCAGGTACTAATTGAGTAGCCTACCTGTGTCAGACCCAGATTTGGTGCTTGGTGGTTAAATCAGTACAGTTAACTAGAAATGTTTCAAAAATATACGTAGAAACTTTGTACACTAGAAAATAAACAGAACCACTCTTTCACCCTGTCAGAGAGATGAAGCTAAAATTTACAGATAAATGAAGCCCTCTTTAATTACCAAAAGTTCTCAAATATGTCTTTATGTAAATGTATTTGTATATACTTAGATTAACTCAGATTCAGTTGTAGACAGGAATTTTAGTAACACATGAGTAAGAAATGCTCTATTGCACTTAGTTCGAGTGATATGGTAACATATTTGCATACTGGTGTCTATACATGATCATCAAAAGAGATTGAGTGACTAATATATGCACACTACTCTCAAATATGTAGAATAATTCCTGGCATTTAAATTTTAGGCTCTAGTGAAAGGGCGTATCTACATATACCCCCGGCTAAAGCATTTGTTCAGTTTGAGGGCAGAATATAGTTGTTTAAGGAACTCGAAACTATTAATTGGTTTAATATGGCCAGACAGTTAATGTATCTAATATAGAAAGAGGTTCAGACCTAACTCAAATTGTTTAGTTTCCTAGAGTCTAATAAATCTGTAAATATATTAAGCTGTTTTATAACTACTGACAGTTCAACTAAAAATGTCACCCTTAAAAAAAAAAAAGTGGCAAAATGTTTTATGAAAGCGAGCTAAGTTTTAACTGAGTAATATTGTGGTTTTCGTTTTGCCTAGAATTTGTTCTTATAAAACATGAGGAATAAAAGAGAGGAAGGAAAGGATGATTACTTTTAAACTCAAACAGGAAATGAACCAAGAAGAAATAAAGCAGAATCTTTCCCCTTTTCAGTTTTTTTGCATTAAAAAAAGGAAAATGGGGCCAGGTGCAGTGGCTCATGCCTGTAATCCCAACACCTTGGGAGGCCAAGGCGGAAGGATCACCTGAGGTCAGAAGTTTGAGACCAGCCTGGGCAACATAGTGAAACCCCGTCTCTACTTAAAATACAAAAATTAGCCGGGCGTAGGGGCGGGCACCTATAATTCCAGCTACTTGGGAGGCTGAGGCAGGACAATTGCTTGAACCTGGGAGGTGGAGGTTGCAGTGAGCTGAGATTGCACCACTTCTCTGCAGCCTGGGCAACAAGAGCAAAACTCCGTCTCAAAAAAAAAAAAGAAAAAGAAAGAAAAGAAAAATGATAAGAAAACTACGATATTTCTTTTGAATATTAATAACACCAAAATAAGTCATCAACACTGAATGAGGTGGAATATTTTATTTTTCTCATCCTCAGCCAACTGATAGACTTCTAAGTAGATATTCCTAAACCTGCTCCCATGAGTCTCAGCAAAAAGCCAGAGAGCATCATAAGGATGTTAGGCATATAGTGCCTTCCACATGTCTGTAGTTTACAGCCTCTGCTCATATAAAATAAAGATAATGATACACACTTCATAGAAGGACTATGAGGATCGAATGAGATAATGTATTTAGAAAGTTACAGAGTGCCACAGATTTTCATTGCTACCATTGGGGTACATTTCTTTAAATAAGACCCAAGAACCTTTAATGAACTTGAAAGGATATTTCTGCCTACTATAGAGCTAGTTTCACAACAGTTAGCAGTTTTACCAAACATTTCTGAGAAATGAATGTAAATTATGGAATGTAAAATACAGTTTTGTTGTGCTTTAAAAATAGTAATTTAGTAGGTCTAGGGTGGAGGGTGGCTGTGGAATTGAGGAAAATATGACTTTTCAGAAGAAGAAAAATTAAGGAACTACAGAAGAGTTAGGCAAAAGTAAAAGGAAGAGTAAATGGAAGGGTGTCATGAGGGAATGAAGTAATTCTCCCAGTTCATGTGGGCTGCCCCATTCATTGTTTTCCCGTCATGAGAGGAAGTGGTTCTGCCCTGTGGGTTGGCTGAGGCTGGGTGGGCTGAGTGGGCATGTAGGGGAGCTGATGCCTGCTGGACCAGTCCACTTTCGATCTCTAGAACTTCACGTTTCCCCTGCATTTTGAACAACTAAGTAGTACTACTAAACCCCCCGTGGACTGAGCTCCGCTTGATCTTACAGTCCTCTGTGAACTCTGCCACAGTACTGATGCAGCCTCACAGGAGTTACTATTTAGATAAGATTGTCCATGGCAAGGAGGTTGGTTGGTTTCTAAAGGAACAATAGTAATACAGGACTGGAGGGAAGGGGACTTTCTCTGGGGAATGGAAAGTGTGGATTTGAGGAACCAAGGAGAGGATGGAGCAAGGACAGTCTTGGCATAATCAGTTTGTACTGCAGATCACTATTTTCTCAGGAAGAATCTAAGATGTTGGAAGGCTACTTTTCTTTATGTGTGCTTGAATACCAAGGAGACCCTCGGGTAGCTGACTGCGTGGCCTGAGTGGGTCTTTGTGCTCATCTGTTCCCCACAAACAGGGCATGGTGGGGGGCTTCTGCTGATCTCCTTCCTGGTACTCTCATGAGCTCTGATCACCTCCTCCATGGGTGTCCAGAGTCCACCTGGTTGTTTCTGGATTGTCTTTTCTTCTTTCTAAAACTAAGATCTGTTTCTAAAATGCTGAATGTGTTTGGGTCTTTCCTCTAGGGAGGTTCAGTGCCTGCAGCCTTTGATTACTGCAGTTTTGTTTTGGGAGCACACATTCTTTAGATCTTAGATCTCTCTCCCCATTTATCACAAATCGTAGTTTCAAAGGAAGAAGTAACACGGATTGATTATAATAGACAGAGTTGTACCACATACTGTGTTATTCCCCTCTAATGGAAAAAAAAAAAAAACTTAGGTAACATTGGGTTCTTTGTGAACAATCTCATTTTCTTTATAAGCTATCTGTGATAACTACTCAAAATATGTAGAGAAACATTTCTATCTACATTGCATTAACATTGCTGACATCTTACAAAGCAACTTGGCATGTCACTGATATTCAATCTAAATATACTGTCAACCATCTGCTCATCACACAAATA